AGAAAGAGGGTGTAAGATCCCTACAAATCCCCCCTCCACCTTTTTCTTTATTTCTCTCGTTCCTGCTATGCTCGCTGGCTCCCCCTCTCTGGCAACAAGTATCCATTTGGATGTGGAGTATTTTCTATGTGGAACTATGCCTCACATAGAAAGTCGAACATGAGTACCTTCAGTTTCGTCTTCAGATGAAGGCTCCCCCTGCTGAGGAATATCATCACTGTGATCATCATCATTACCTATTGAACCATCACTCTCTTTCTCAATAGTATCATACATCTCCTCGTCGCTGAGAGGAATGTTTGATGATACAGGGACTTCGTCTTCTGGAGTATGTTGTTTGCTGATTATTGGAGCACACTCATGAAACTCATTTTCATGAAATACAACATCTCTGCTTCGTATAACTTTCTTCACTTCGGGATACAAAAACTGTGTAGTTGAAGTTTCTGCAGAGGAGAGAGAATTTACTGAAACCACAAATTCTTTTCTTAAAATGTAAAGTGGCAAAGTTAATGGGACATCCAAAAAAGGAAAGTTGACAAAGTTATAAGGGACGGAGGGAGTATTATTCAGCTAGTTTATACACCGACCCTTGAAGGTGTGAGTCCAAAACTTCTCCTTATATGTAAAATATTCCCTCCGTCTCGATCATTTCTTCCAAGTTTTACTTGACTCGCAAATTTAGAAAGGGAGAATAAAGTCGAAATGTATGGTTATAGTTGTGTAAGAAAAAGGTGAATGTATGTGAACCACATATTTTTTTCAAAAGTGGAAATTGAAAGAGTTAATTGGGACGACCCAAAAAGGAAAATTGGAAGAAATGGCCGGGACGGAGGGAGTATGTATTAATGAGAATAGCGTAGGCATATATTCGGTTTAGATGGCATAAGTCATAGAAATGATACGTCAACATTCATCAGTTAAAACATATTTGTTTACATTCTTGGTATGCTTTAACTGTTTAATGGTACATAAAACCTATCTTCATTTAAAATACGCAAAAAACCGTATGGATAAAAAAATATGCACATTGAAGTAGACTTTTGAATAAATGATCTCAAATTACAATACCAAAATGAAAATTTAGCACATAGTTTATGCATTTTATTCTGGTACACTATTTGTATCTAGCCTCATTCTTTTCTAATGACCTTTGGTATTCCGAGTCATTGACAGTTTTTTATAACTGGCAAGATAATTCAAGCCACGATGGTTGCAAATCTGCAATAACTGGGCATTTTTAGATTGCCTAGACAAGGTACACAAATGAGTTACCCTCTATGGTTTTATTGTTCAAAAGTAGATTGTCAAATGCTTCATATACTCATGGCTAATGTTTTGAAAGATGCACTCAATGTAAAGTGGAAAGATGCATCCAAAGAAAGTATTTTGGATTCATAAATAAATACCATAGTTGTTCAGTTATTATCGTAATTTATACTATCTTTTTAGGATGATAAGATTTGACAATATGTCTTGTTACTTATTCTCAATCTTGAATAAAGTGTTTTTTGTCATAAATCATCTATCTTTTTGTTTGTTAAATAATAATGTGTCCCTTAATCTTATACTACGTATTATATAGGAAGTACAAAAATATTTAATAAATTTCATTCAGGCATATACACAAGCACTTAGCACATGAATTTGACTTTTTTCAACCAAATTAAGATCATATTGGCAAACACTCAAATCTGTACTAAAATAGGGAGTTTACATAAAAGCCTTAGCGAAGATAATCCACAAACACAAGCATGCTTGAACAAAACTAAATCTGCCTTCCATTAAGCTCTACACATCCTATTGATATAGTCTGGTCGTGTCCATTTCTGGCCCTATGGGTGGTATACTATTTTGGGCTTATATCTATGACAAACAGTAAATCATATCTGAGCAATGAAGTTCATAAAATAAATGCGAGAATCACTTTATTATTATTTAAGTTACATATTTGGGTTAAAAAAAATATGAGTATCGAATAAAATGAAAAAAATATTACTTAAAAATGTTCTCCGTAGAATAATATGAAGCAAATCATCAATACTAGTATGACAAATAATAAAAGTGCCACATATAACAAAACTATTTTTTTTGAAAGAATTTGAAAAGAAATATTACCACTTATTGAATTCATAAATTGAGAATGATGTATTGACCGGTGATGAGAGTCTAAAGTTTGAAGTCTCGCAAGAATGAAAGTTTTCAAAGAGATAAAATGTTTGGCTGCGAAGAGGACTCACCGAAGATTGCAAATTTGACGTCCTCTAAAACAACTACTCCCTCCGTCCCTTAAAACTTTTTCAACTTTTCTTTTTGGGGTGTCCCAAAAAACTTTATCACTTTCCGTTTTAATAAATTATTTTGTGGTTTCTGTTATTTCTCTTTCCTCTACACAAATCTCAACCACACAGTTTTTACTTTATTATTCTCCGTGCCGGCCAACTTTGGCAAAGTTTTAAGGGACGGAGGTAGTATTAGAAACTCATATACAACTTATTGAAATTTGGGGTGAGATTAGAGAGAAACGAGCTCTAAAATAATTATATAAAATTGTTTTGTTATAATTAAATTGAATAAAAAACCTTAAAAGCTAAAAAGATGTGAGGACTGGAGAGATATGTCTTTTATTTATGCAGCAACAATTGTATTACTTTTAAAAACAACAACCGATCGTGCTAAAAATTAATGTATATATTCTTTTTTAAACTTGCATCTGTTAAAGACTCTTTATTTATGTTTTAAATTTTCAAATTGTCAACAAAATTAATCATTAGGTCTAATTAATTGAATTTAAGGATAAAAAAAGAAGCATACTCACACTATATATAAAGAAAAAAATTGAGCTTATTTTTTCTTCTATTTTTTTCAGGCCTAGACATTCGCTCGTTTTGCCCTAGAACCGACCCTGCGAACAGTAACAAGAAAGAAGATTAGTAGATCACGATAACGGAAGGGTATTCGTTTTTTTCCGGAAGAAACGGAAATGTATTACTCCCTCCGTCCCGGTCATTTCTTGCGGTTTTGACCGGTATCGCAAATTTAGGTAGTAGGAATAAAGTGAAAATGTATGGTTGTAGTTGTGTAAGAAAAAAGTGAATGAACGTGAACCACATATTTTTTCCAAAAGTGGAAGTTGGAAGAATTAATTGGGACGGCCCAAAAAGGAAAGTTGGAAGAAATGACCGGGACGGAGGAAGTACTTAAGAATTTTATAAATATGAGATCTCAAAAATAGACGAACTATCAATCTGGGACCTAAAAGATGAAATGTATCAATATAGGACTCGAAAGATAAAAACTATCAATCTAGGACCTAATATTTTATAAGTTTTTATTTATTTAATTTTTTATTAATTTCATTGCTATTATTTGGTAAAATTTTCTTCACAAAACTTTATTAGTTTAATAAAACTAAATATTATTTAAATTTTTTAAAATAAAAATAATAATAAAACCTATGAAAACTTAGGTCCTAAATTGATAGTTTTTAATCATTCGGGTCCTAGATTGATATTTTTCCATCATTCGGGTCCTATACCGATACATTCCATCTTTCAGGTCCCAAATTGATAGTTCATCTATCTTTCAGGTCCCGGATTGATAAAACTCCTATTACTTAATTGTACAAATACTAAAGAATAGTGTACAATCACTCACAACAATTTGTTACACCTATCACTTTGTTAATGAATTAATTTCATTTGTGGTCATGCGAATTTTGTGTCAATTCTATCTTTAGTCCACATCTTTCATTTAATTCACTTTTGTTACTTGACTAATGTTTTTTAAAAGTTTGTCGTTCTTTTCCGGTAATTTTATCATCAGAAACAATGTCGGAAAGACTAGAAAAACAATAGTCATGTATCAAAAGTAGACAAGGTGAAAGATGTAAGCTAAATATTAAATAGAAATTGCCCAATATAGGATTAAATATAAACATAATTGCACAAATATGAGTAAAACTTAAAACTTTCTTCAATAGGAGTAAACATTAATTTTGTACCCTTAATATCCCTAACCTAGTTAATTCTAAAATACCACTTATTTGATCCTATCAAAAAATCTAAGTTCATTCACCGGAAACGATACATTTATGCAGGCCATTTAATTTCAAAAATAATCTAAGTTCATCCCAACAATATTAAAATATTAAATAAAAAAAAATTATTTTTGTAAAAATAAAAAACTTTAAAAATAAATAAAAAAATAGATAAAATGTATTAAAAAATATAAGAAAATTATGCAGGCCTTTCCCGCAGCCTCGTTCATCACCCAGCTATGTCACCTCCGATCGGCGAAAAAATTGTCATTTTATGTAAAAACTGCCATTTTCTTTAAAAAAATGCCATAAAGATGGCAGTTTTACTCTTTGCGAATGCCAAATTTTCTCAAAATCTGCCATCTTGATGGCATTTCGGGAAAATGTTGACATTTTTTCCAATGATCGGAGCTGGTGGTGCTGGGAGGTTGTTGAGGCGGCAGCAGACGCCTACATATATATATATATATATATATATATATATTTCATTTTTTATTTGTTTTTCATATTTATTTATTTTTTTTAATAATTTTTTATTTTATTTAATACGGAGTATATTTTATTTGATATTTTTTGTGTTTTTTACAATTTTATTATAAATTAATTAATCTTAGGGAGTATTTATTTTATGTTTTAATTATTAATGAAAGTTGTTGGGGCTTGGGTAGAGGTATACTTGTCCAAACACTAAAGTTACTCCTATTCAAAACATGGTATTCCTATTTTTGCATTTTGCCTATGTTTTACTCCTATTTGAGAAATTCTCTCAATATTAAATTGAACCAAAACTCGTAAAATTAAAAGTGAAATTTATTCGTTTTTAATTCTCAAAAGTAAATATAACCTTTATCGATCCTTACAAGTTTTTATTTTACGGAGTATTAGATATAGAAAGTATGTTTTTAAATGAGTATGTGTATTTTATTATAAGTTTTTTTTAGAGTATGTGTTTAAATGAGCATTTAAAATGCAGTCAGCCTCCTGGTATGTAGCTGATAAATGTAATGGACTTTCTGTTTCTTCCCCCCCACTAATTTTCTGGTCAAATCTTCTCTCTCTGCCTTTCTTCTTCTTTCTCCATCACCAAGTACAAAAGACCCATCAAGCTTCCATGGCCGACGAGTCCACCTCATCCTCACATCTATGCATCACTGTCCTGAAAAACCCATCGGACGCCCATCTCTCCGAGCTGGGAATCAAATCTTGGCCCAAGTATGTATGCCATTTCGTTCAATTCCCCTTCTTTTTTTAGTTTTGCTCTGACTTTACTCTGTTCCTGAGAATTTAATTTATTCATTTTTATGGTTCTTTTTCTTGAAAAAAAAAACAGGTGGGGTTGTTCACCAGGAAAGTACCAACTGAAGTTTGAAGCAAAGGAGACGTGTTATCTGTTAAGGGGAAAAGTTAAGGTTTACCCAAAGAACACAACATCGCCGGAGACGGTGGAGTTCGGCGCCGGCGACTTGGTCACTATACCGAAGGGGCTCAGCTGTACTTGGGACGTGTCCGTCGCCGTCGATAAACACTATAAGTTCGACTCCTCGTAACGATCTAGCTAGCTTGTCAAAACCACAATTTTCTAATTTTGGTAGTTTATTTTTGGGAAGGGCAAATAAACCCTCGAATTAATTGAAAAAGTGCAAATCTATCTCTTTTGTAGGAGGATGTCATCATTTGGGACGATTAACAGAGAAATTTTTTGATAAATGTTTTTGAGCATCTTCTTCATTAAGTCTTGTTTATCTATACCAAATTTCAGGTAAAAATTCAACCGGGAAGGCAGTCAAATGATTTTCTGAAATATATTGCGCTGTTTAACTGCGTAGTTATCTTCAAACATTTATTTGATTGTCTTCACGATTGAATTGTTATCTGAAATTTGGTATGAGTAAACTAGACTTAATGAAGAAGATTTTCAAAAAAAATTATCAATAAATTCAATCAGCAACCGTCTCAAATGGTAATGGCCGGACAAAGCCACTTTTCGATTAGTTCGAGAGTGATTTGTACTTTTTCGATTAGTTCGTGTGCTTATTTGCATCTTTTATCTTATTCTTGAAAAAATCGGTTTTTATCCACTTTTAGACTCGCTCTTGTACTCACCATCTGAACACAAAAAAACTAGCTTCTCACATACTGTTAGTAGAAGAGTGAGTATAAAAGTGAATATAAATAATAAAATTGTTTATTTTTTGTTTATGATTTCCTTATTTTTCTATTGTTAAGATAACTACCAGAAATGTCATGTCTGATATCCTCAAAAACTAGCAGCAGTTTTGCCATTTATGTTAGTGTGGTTGGAAAGTCATTTAAGACTGTACTTTAATATAATAATGATAGTTTGAAAAGGTGTTGTAGTCAAAGTTCTTTCTAATTTTTTTTTGGCCCACTGGCAACCTAGAATTCAATTACGGAGTACGTTTTATTTTGTGTGTGTAATTCTTAAAGGCATTAAATATCATACTTTTCATTTTTGTAATTCTCAATTTAGTTAGCCATCTTGATTTTTCCAGTCAAAAATGAAAATTTTGACCAATTATTTAAATTAATATATTTATACAAAATTTAATAATTTTATACTTTTATGATAGTATTTTTAACAAAGAAAATTTTCATATCATTTTCATATTTTTAATACTTTCTTTATATACACATATAATCGGTCAAAGTTAGATTTCATTGACTTCAAAAGTCAAAATTGGCTAAGCAAAGTATACACATATACTTTGTGACATTATACATGTAATATAAAACTTATATATTCTTGCTTCGGAAAAATCCGTATACCTTAGGAAACCTAGCTCAGAGAAGCTCCGGAACTATAGAAAGAAAAAAATAAAACAAAGATGGAGATCGTGAAGTAAGAAACAAAGATGTAAAATTCCCAAAGCTCCCCCTTAATCATATATTTCTGGCTCCGCCACTGGTGCCAACTCGTGTTAAGAAAATAAAAAAAATGTGTAGTTAAAATTAAGTTATACACAAAAAGAGCAAAACAATATAAAACACGCATGATTTTTTGTCCAAAATATTTAAATAGATAAATGCGGTTAGTTATAGGCTACGAACAATAAAAAAGTATAGAAATTATTAAGAGATTTTTCAAAAATATTACTTGCAACAAAATTTATTTGCAAACATATGATATAAAGCTTCTACAATATAATTTCATGATTACTTGAGTGTAAAAAATTGAAGATAAGTTCCTATGGTTAAAGTTATTGCACTAGTCACTACAATTAAGAGGTCACATTTTTAGTGCCATGTATTTTAGTCATAAATAAATAATTATTTCAATTATTAAAGATACTGAGAGTAAAACTTAGAGTCATTTGGTGACATCTATTTTTAACTTATCGGCCCTATCAGTAAACATTTTTATCAAACTTGTTACTTTTAATTTTAAATGTTGAATTGTGTGATAATCAATTAGTAAACCTCAAGTTACTTTTTCAAGTGACTCAATTGGTCGAAGATGATTGATTTAACTATTTCCATATATTTTTCTCTTATTTGATTAATAACATATATTGTAGATATAATTTTCTTTTAATTCAATAGATTCACTTATTTTAGTAGTTTCAATTAAACTAATTTAAGGAAGTTCAGCAAATTGAATGATGTTATCGAACGGACACAATATTTGGCTTATTGCAACTCTAAATTTGGCGACCTATGAAAGTATAGAGTGGTATAAATGAGCCTATCCTTAACAAGACGTGTGCCTTGTCTTGTGAGAAAATGTACTCTGAATCCGTACGCTTTCAAAAAGGATTATGATCATTTATCCATAACAATAATCAAGTTAACGAATCATTATACCGATTATTATTTAAGGGTTTAACAAAATTAATACGAAAATGAGACTATAGAAAGACTAAGAGGACGATTCCACTTTTATTAATGTTATCGAGCATCTCCAATAAGGATGTGAATTGCACCCTTAAAAAATGGACACGTCGTACCATGAGGATGGTGCGCCCGGTTGCAAAAACGACGCAGCATCTTTTTTTTTTTTGCTTTTGATGTTAAAAATGATAATAACTTTTTAATTTTTGATCCGATTTTTATAAAATTTATATCAACGTTTTTTATTTTTCATGATCTTTCAAATGAGACCAATATTGTGTATGTAATTTTAAGAAATTATCGAACTATAATATTAATGAGTATTGGATTATAAGAAAAATCGAATCTGTTTGGGAGATGATAGATTTGTGAAATAGAAGATCGAATCTGTTTGGGAGTGGATCAGTGACCTCAGTTACATTTGATAATACACTGAGTTACATCTTTTTATGAGCGAGTTACATCTTTTTATAAGCAAGTTACATCTTTTTATAAGCGAGTTACATATATATATACACACGAGTTGCATTTGACATGTCTGATCGTGACTTACATATATTTACACGTAAAGTTACATATTTTTACACGTAAAGTTACATATTTATACACACGAGTTACATATTTATACACATGAGTTGCATGTGACCTGTCTGAATGCGAGTTACATATTTTTTACGTAAAGTTACATATTGTTACACGTAGAGATACATATTTATACACACGAGTTGCATTTGACTTGACTGAACGTGAGTTACATATTTTAACACTTAAAGTTACATATTTTACATACAAATGTTAATATGTTAAAATTACATTGGCAATATTGGTCTCATTTGAAAGATCATGAAAAATAAAAAATGTTGATATAAATTTTATAAAAATCAGATCAAAAATAAAAAAGTTATTACCATTTTTTAAAAACAAAAGGAAAAAAAAAATACAAAGCCGTCCCGGTATACGGTGCTCACCGTATACCGGTTGCACGGTATACGCACTCTCCGTATAGATAGCACGTCTCCGATGGACAATAGTATTTATATACATACCCTCTAGACACCTCCAGCCTTGGGAGAAGAATGACAAAACCTGCTCATTAGCTTCAGCATCCTCCCCGGCGGAGTGTTTGATAGAAGGGAAAGACCGTTGTTTTGCTTATTCCTAATTTTGTACTACGTATATGATTTCCGTACGGGGAAAAATTGGTAGGATAAATATTTTGCTGAGGTGGCAATGGGACGGGCATTCTGAAAGTAGAAGGTGGGATAGATAATGTCTCTTTTTTTCATTCAGGACATCAACACAGCCGCAGTCCATATTGCCGTTGGAGACATAATTTTACCATGTGGCAATGTATTTACCACTTAACTTTTTCTTACACAACTATAATCATACATTTTCACTTTATTTCACTTTCTTAATAAGCGTGTCAAGTCAAACCGGGAAATATTTTTTGGGACAGAGGTAGTATATCATTTTGAATTTAAATTTACATAAGTCGATTGCAACATTCTAATTGGTCCTTGTGGATAAAGGTATGGTACCTTAAGGATACCATAGAATCTACCTTATAAGCAATCCAGGTTCATGTTAAAGATGCTCTGCTACAATTACTATCGTTCAACGCCGGAGTGACTCTATCCCGGAGTGGGCACAGGGATGGATTTAAGTTGGGGGGGGGGGGGGGGGGGGGCTGGGAGTTTCAAAATTTTCCATTATATACTTCCTCCGTTCTTTAATTCTTGCAACATTGTGATTTTTGTACTATTTTCAGACCTTACTTTGACCACAATTTTCTACTAATATACATAATCAAATTATTACGTATAAAATGTTATTAAATTCATATCAATGTGAATTTCCAAAATATCAATTGTTTATAATGTTTACTAATACATAATTAAATATAATTACAGTCAAAGTTGTGATTTGGCAAACGTGAAAGTCAAATTGTTGCAAGAATTAAAGAACGGAGGATAGTATGTAATAGTTTCGTACTATTTTTTTTTAATTAGATATATATGTGCTCGCCCCACTTAACTTTGAGTTTTCAAAATTTTATAGATCTAAAATAATTTGCATTACTTAAACAAATAAACAATAGAACAACTCATTGTTCAAAACTTAGGATACTTATTATACAAAAATGCTAGTTTTGTAATGTTTAATTATGAGACACAATAGTTAAACAATTTTAAATCATGTGAAGTGAATATTAACGCATAATATTAATATAATATTATTGTACATTTGTTATATGTAATTATCTCATACGGTAGTTAGTATTTGTATTTATCTTATATGTATGACTAGCTATATCCCTTAGTTTGTGATTAGTTTGTTATTTGATCATATCACCACCAACTGTAACTCTATATATTCATGTACGTACTCAAAGCCCCATTTCCGAGGAAGATTTGGTGATCAACATTCTTAACGGTCTAAGTTCTGATTACGGTGAATTAAGATCTGCCATTCGAGTTCGCAATACTCCACTCCCACTGGCGGAATTGCAGGATATTCTCCTGGAGTGTGAGCAAAAGCTTCAAGAAGCAGGTGTGTCGGCGCAGCAGCTTGTACCTACTGCACATTACACTCAGGCTAATGGTCGCGTAGGTGATCCATCCATGCACGCTGACCGCCATCCCATGCACACCACTGATCGTCGTCCTAATCATCCACGACGTGGTCGTGGCGGCCACCTTCCTGGACAGTACCGGAACCCTCCCTCCAATGGAGTTGTGTGCCGTTTCTGTAATTTCTCCGGCCATGAAGTCAAACAGTGCCGGAAATTACAGCGTTTTTTACGTGATAATCAAATCACTCCTTCATCGGGTTCTGGCTCTCCGGCCGTTCACAATACGACGGTCCATCCTATGACTAATGGTCAACAGTGGCTATTTGATAGTGGGGCCTCCCATCATATCACCTCGGATAATTCAAATCTTCCGAACTATGTTGATTATGGAGGCCCTGATGAGGTTCATCTTGGTGACGGTAACTTCCTGCCTATTACACACACTGGCTCTACTAGCCTATCCACCAAATCCCGACCTTTATCCCTCACTAATGTTCTGTGTGTACCTTCCCTTAATAAAAATTTAATATCTGTTGCTAAACTTTGCAGAACTAATTCAGTTTCTGTTGAATTTTTCTCTACCCATTTTTTTGTTAAGGATCGGGTCACGGGGGCGGTGCTCATGCGCGGGGAGAACATCCATGATGTCTACTATGTTCACTCACCAAAGTCTCCACAAGTCAATCTTTCTCGGGTCTTTCCTCCATCTCACTGGCATCACACATTTGGTCAGATATGACACATCTCCTACCGATGCCACACATTACCGCCAGACTCTAGGTCTTCTCCAATATCTGTCCTTCACTCATCCCGACATCTCATTTGTTGTCAATCGGTTGTCTCAATTCATGCATGCTCCCACCGAGACCCATTGGCAAGGTGTGAAAAGAATATTACGGTATCTCAAAGGCACTCTCGATCATGGCCTCTTTCTCAGTCGGTTCTCATCCTTGACTTTATCCGTATTCTCAGATTCTGATTGGGGAGGGGTGCATGATGGGGGCCGTTCAACTATGGCTTATGTTCTCTACT